CCCCCTCTCCCCCCAACCTTACCCCCCTCCTTTGACCCTGAGCGCTCTGCTCTTTCCTCTTCTAGCCCAAACGCATGCAGACGTGAAAAGGAGCCACACTTGTGTATTGATGATACCGCCATTCCAGAATCTCAGAAGAACCCAGATCTTAAAAGTGACACACAGAGAAAAAAACAGAACAAAATCTTCTTTTCACCCTAAGGAGGAAAGAAGAAGAAACAGGTTGTCAATACCGTCAATAAAGGTGCCATTACTTCATTGCATGGTTTTACACGCGTCCTTCTGCAAAGGAACGAAGCGCAGCATGCATGGCTTGGTTACTACCCCTACCACCACACACATACCATTTTATCACAACACCCCTGTGAGGTGGGTTATTGTAAAAAACGGAGATGGGCCCAAGATCACTTGCGGAACTCTATGCTGGCACAGCGGGCCCCATAATTTTTGGGCCGCTCTCTGCAGGGCACCCAAAGAGACCCGGTCCCAATGCAGTTGGGTGGGCGTTTTCTATTTCCAAATGAAGGTAGTCATTTGGGCAGAGAACAAGACCAGACATTGGCCACAGACATAAGAGGGCCGGCTAGCTCACCTGCTGTTTCCTGTAACCTCATCACCTAACTGGAGAATTTCCAGTGCAAACAGGAAATACCCTCTAGCCTCCCCTGTCTCTATGGTATCGTCCAGATTGGTGTGGTGGTTCGGAGCGTGCACTCTAATCTGGGAGAACCGGATTTGATTCCCCACTCCTCCACACGCAGCTGCTGGTGTGACCTTGGGTCGGTGACAAGTTCTCTCAGAGCTGTTCTCTCAAGAGCAGTCCTTGAGAGAGAGAGCTCTCTCAGCCCCACCTCCCTCACAGGGTGTCTGTGGTGGGCAGGGGAAGTGAAAGGAGATTGTAAACCGCTCTGAGACTCTTAAGTGAAGGGTGGGGTACAAATTCAATCTCTTCTTCCTTATCATCCCTAATTTCTTCAGCAGTTTTTATTAATAACCTTGTGAAGGTCCTGGGACTTGCTGTGTCCCGACTTAATACTTCAGCCAGGAGTGGGCGTGGGGAGGGGGCGGAGCTGGAAAGAGGGAAAGTACCCCAAGGAAAGAATGAACCAGCACCTGGAATGGAGCACACGCGAAACTGCCTTCTACTGAATCAAACCCTCGGTCCATCAAAGTCAGCCTTATCTACTCAGACTGGCAGTGGGTCTCCGGGGTCTCCGGCGGAGGTCTTTCACATCACCTCCTGCCTGGATCTATCACTGGAGATGCCGGGGATCGAACCTGGGGCCTCCTGCATGCCAAGCAAAGGCTCTGCCACTGAGCCACAGCCCCTCCCTTACAAATGAACACATGAAGAGCCCTGGGCCGATCCAGCGGGGCTCTTCTTCAGTTCTTATGATGGCCTCAGTCTCTATGCCCTATTGTTGGCTCTCCAGAGGAATCAGTGAGACCGGATGCTGGACTAGCTGGACCACTGGGCTGATCCAGCAGGACTCTCCCGATGTTCTTATCAGGGGAAGGCCTCGGCCTCCATGCTCCGTTGTTGGCCCTCCAGAGGAACTGGTTGGCCACTGACTGAGACCGGATGCTGGACTGCATGGGCCACCGGTCTGATCCAGCAGGGCTCTTCTTCGGTTCTTACATTCACACATGAGAGTCAGACTAGACAAGAGGTCGGAAGATCCAGAATCAGGCACCTACCGTGTCCTTCATAAACAGCAGCCCGGAGAGGCCCCGATTCGTATCGGGATCATAAGGAAGGAGGAGTGAGCTCACCCCCCCCCCATGCCATTTTCCCAAACTCAAATGTCTCCCACTGGCTCCTATTTGCCCCATGGAGGTTGAGTGTGCATTACCGCCCCCCCATGGGGCAGATAGCAGTACGAGAGGGGCATTTGTAGTAAGGCAAACGGGCAGAAGGAAATGAATCACACTCTGGCTACCTTATGCTACGGGGGGGGCGGGGGGGGCGGTTGTGATCGCATGGATACTTATGTACAAAGGGAAATCGTGCCAAAGGTCCTAGCCTGAATCTCGCACCGTCTGACCCTCGTCTTTTGTACTGCCCGAGAGAGCCCTGCTTTATGTTATTTTCCTTCGACCACCTGGGGGGACCGTTTACACAGTCATTAGGTGGGCAGGTGCCATCAGGTGGAGGCTGACAAGCCAGGGAGCAAGACTGCCCTTCCCGAGAGATTCTCAAGAACCGCCTGCCGCTTGCTAGACGCTCCCTAGAATGCCAAACGTGAGGAGATTGCAGAGATCAAACATGCCCTGTCCCTCAGGTCTCGGAGAGGGTAGGAAGCAGAAAGGAAGATCTGTGTACTTCTTTACTTCATTCAGAAGACAAAGAAGAGATTGGATTTATACCCCGCCCTTCGCTCACCGAAGAAGTCTCAGCGCGGCTTACAAACTCCTTTCCCTTCCCCTCACCACAACGGATACCCTGTGAGGTAGGTGGGGCTGAGAGAGCTCTTCTGAGGACTGCCCTTGAGAGAACAGCTCTGAGAGAACTTGTGACTGACCCAAGGTCACACCGGCAGCTGCATGCGGAGGAGTGGGGGATCAAACTTGGTTCTCCCAGATTAAAGTCCACACACGTTCCCTCTAAGCTGTGGACTCTTGTGAGCAAAAATTCTACTTTGTGAGCTACTGGGCATTAAAGTTGTGAGCAGGCGATCTGGCTGCTGCGTAAATTAGTTTGCTCTGGAGCCCTCCTTCCTGAGCTAAGGCAAAAATGTGTGAGCCGGAGGCTAAAAATCTGTGAGCTAGCTCACACTAACTCAGCTTAGAGGGAACACTCCTAACCACCACACCAAACTTGCTCTCTGTACCCCATTTTCACTCTGACAGGGACCCAAAATGGCTCACGACATTCCCCGTTTTATCCTCATGACAACCCCGAGAGGTAGGTTAAGCTGTGGGGCCCCTCCACTGGCCCAAGGCCATGCATTAGGGTTCCCAACCCCCAGGTAGTGGCTGGAGATCTCCCGGGATTTACAATTGAGGTTTAGGGTACAAGGCTGGGACCTTGAAGGCCCAGTATTGAACCCCCACTCTTCCATGGATAGGGCTGCCAACCTCCAGGGGGCACCTGGAGATCTCCTTTTGGCCAGTCTCCCACCAGTGGCCTGGATCTGAATAGACCACCGGGGCACCCACCGCTGTATTTTAATCAATCTGATTTGACATCTGATTTCTCCGTTTTTAACACGGTATTCTATGATTCCATCCTGTGTGAACTGGCAATTTAACCTTGTTTTAATTGTATTCCACTACTTGATGTAAGCCGCCCTGAGCCCGTTTATGGGGAGGGCGGTCTATAAATCAAATCAATAAATAGATGAATAAAAGCAGTTGATCTCCACATGACCAAGATCAGCTCCCCTGGAGGGTGGACTCTGTGGCGCTATACCCTGTTGAAGGAACCTCCTTCCCCCAAACTCCGCCCTCTGCAGGCTCCGCCCCCCTAAATCTCCAGGGATTTTCCGGCCTGGAGCTGGCAACCCTATCGCCCAGCGAGCTTCCATGTCTGCGTGGGGAGTTCCACCTACCGGCAGACCCCCGATTACATCACCAGAGGGTGCGTGTCCCCCACCACGATCGAAGGCACAGATTCCAGGCTGCCTTTGTAGATGGGAGTCCGCTGGCCGGAGTCTTCCCTGTAGGGGAATGTCAGAGAGAGAGAGAGAGACATCGTTAACGCCACACCGGCAAGGCTTAGATTTGATTTCTCTCCAAACACTGTGATTTGCCCATTTGTGGTTTATCACTTCGATGGCTCGGCTGGATGCGCCGCGCGTCTCCTCCAGAAAAGGACCGGCTTTTGAGAAGACCGGGCTGCCGTGACACAGGAGATTAATCGTCCGTTTCCTGCTTCACACATGTGGTTTGCCCAGCGGTTGGAAAGAAGACGTGTGAACTGGCCTCCGGGAAGCTAATTAAGCCCCAGGGCCCAAGCCAGGCCTCGAACAAATATTAATTGGCTCACAGCTGGCATCGAGGAGGGGGGGAAGCACCTCATCCATCTCTCCCTTGAAACAAAACAAAACAAAAAAGCGGACTCCTCTGCAGATTTTCTTGGTAGGGCCGAAAAGAAACCCAGCAGGCCGCCCGGTTCAGGCCCGTCTCTCCAGGTCTGAACACGAGTTGGAATGGGAGAAGAAGAAGAAGAGATTGGATTTATACCCCGCCCTTCAATCGGAGTTTCAGAGCGGCTTACAAACTCCTTTCCCTTCCCCTCCTCACAACAGACACCCTGTGAGGTAGATGGGGCTGAGAGAGCTCTTTCCAGAACTGCCCTTGAGAGAACAGCTCTGACAGAACTATGGCTTGCCCAAGGTCATCCAGCAGCTGCGAGTGGAGGAGTGGGGAATCAAACCTGGTTTCTCCCAGATTAGAGACCGCGCACAAACCTGGAAAAGCCCCCACCCCAAGGAAGGAGGGAGGGAGGAGAGAGTGCGTGTCCAGTGACCACATAGGGTGAGGGTCTTCAACTTTTTTTTGTATTGTGTGTGTGTGTGTGTGTGTGTGTGCCTGGAAGTCATGGTTGACTTCCGGCAACACCTAGTGGGGCTTGGGCGTTTCAGAGAGGTGGCTTGCTATTGCCTGCCTCTGTGTCCTGGACCTGATATTCCTTGGAGGTCTCCCATCCAAGTAATTGCCAGGGTCGGCCCGGCTTAGCTTCCGAGATCTGACGAGATCGGGCTTCCCTGGGCGATCCGGGTCAGGGCGGTCCCCAACACGTTGAGCCTGAGGGCACATCTGGAATGCTGGCATAGCACGGTGGACGCAGCGACAGAACGATGGGCACAAAACGGTTGCTGCAGGAGGCGGAGCCAGCTACAAGACGATGGTCACAGCTTAACCGCAAGACGGGGCAGATCCTCGTGCTGCGGTGGCAGCTGGTGCCAAAGCAAAAATTTTTAAAATCTGCACAGCCAATCAAATGTCCGGTAGTCAAACAGGAGCCTGGGTGAGGAAAAAGCCCCACCTGGACCCACCCACTTTCTATAAACACTTGGCAGGCACCAGAAAAGGTATCAACAGGGACCATGGCACACACGGGCACCGTATTGCGGACCCCTGATGTATGGCAAGGCATAGTAAAGCCAGTGGTGGATTGCACCTGCTCCCTGAGAGGGCTGCCCCTCATTTGAGGGCAGGGTGGCCCCGGTGGGTGGGTGGCTCCTCGGCTATCAATGTACCAGGACTAGGGATGGGCATGAACTAGCTGACAAACTGAAGTTCGTCATGAATTTTGGCTGGTTCATGGTTCGCAAAGCAATGTTTGCAAACTGAAGAACTGCCACGAGCTTACACGAATTTTGGTGCCATTTGTAGCAGTTTGTGAAGAGCAGAAAAGCAGGGGTTTCCCCATGGAAAGCTACAGGGAGCAGAAAGCAGGGGTTTAAGAAGGCTTGAAGCCATTTAAAACAAACAGCTGAGCAGCTGTGCCACAGCTTAGCTGTTTAGAAACTCTTACTTTCTGCTCCCCACGGAAAGCCGCGGGGAGCAGAAAGGAGGGATTTAAAAGGCTCGGAGCTATTTAAACCAAACGGCCATTTAAAACAAACAGCTGAGCAGCGGTGCTGCCACTCAGCTGTTTGGAAACCCCTGCTTTCTGCTCCCCCCGACAAGCCGCAGGGAGCAGAAAGCAGGGGTTTAAACTTTAAATGGCTCACGTGAACCAACCTCCCAGTTTGTATGGGTTCGTGGTTCAGTTTGCCGTTCAGCCACGAACTATGGATCAAACTGCAAAAATGTGGTTCATGCCCATCCTTAACCAGGACTTTCTCCTTAATAGCCAATCTGCTCCTACAGAACATCAACTAGGCTGGATCCGGCCGCTCTGTTCTGCCTGTGGGAGGCGCTTCCTTCTGATGCAAAGAGTCCTTCTCAAGAAGAAAGCATCTCTGTTAACAGAACAGGGATTTGCGGGATCGAACCTGCTGCTCCCAACACCCACAAAGATCCAAACAAAGTACTTACAGGAGTGCTTTCTTCTTGGCAACTGCCCGATGGCGGTGGATCAGGACGCTAAACACCATGGCCATTTAAAACAAACAGCTGAGCAGCGGTGCTGCCACTCAGCTGTTTGGAAACCCCTGCTTTCTGCTCCCCCCGACAAGCCGCAGGGAGCAGAAAGCAGGGGTTTAAACTTTAAATGGCTCACGTGAACCAACCTCCCAGTTTGTATGGGTTCGTGGTTCAGTTTGCCGTTCAGCCACGAACTATGGATCAAACTGCAAAAATGTGGTTCATGCCCATCCTTAACCAGGACTTTCTCCTTAATAGCCAATCTGCTCCTACAGAACATCAACTAGGCTGGATCCGGCCGCTCTGTTCTGCCTGTGGGAGGCGCTTCCTTCTGATGCAAAGAGTCCTTCTCAAGAAGAAAGCATCTCTGTTAACAGAACAGGGATTTGCGGGATCGAACCTGCTGCTCCCAACACCCACAAAGATCCAAACAAAGTACTTACAGGAGTGCTTTCTTCTTGGCAACTGCCCGATGGCGGTGGATCAGGACGCTAAACACCATGACCACCAGGAGTAACAGCACCGCTGGAACGGCCACCGTCAGGGCCAGCATTGGGGCGCTTTGCGGCAGCACAGACTCTGCAAGGAGGAAGTCAGGAGTCAACAAAGGCAGACGGTCACTGGGGGCCCAGCCCAGCGTGCAAAATCCATTCCCTCCAGCAGAGGGCAGAAGGCGTCCACTCACACCCACTCAGTATCCCATCGCACCCAAAAGTTCATTCTTAACCACATTTTTTTCCTGCAAGGGTGGTGATTTGGGAGAAAGAGAGGAGAAAGAGGGCTTGAGAGGTTTGTGAGACAGGATAGGAACGATTCATTCTCTCTAAAAGCTGTAGAATTCGGAGGGCGCAACCCAATGAAGGTTTGTTGTTGTTGTTCAGTCGCACAGTCGAGTCTGACTCTTCGCGACCCCATGGATCATCTCCCGCCAGGCCCTCCTGTCTTCCGCCGTCCTCTGAAGTTTGCTCAGTTTCATGTTCGTTGCATCGATGACACTGTCCAACCATCTCATCCTTTGCCATGGGAACCAAACCTGCAAAACTTTGTCAGGGCTGGGCTCTGTTCTGTGGCTTTCAAAGGGACTTCATCCTGATTTAAGTTTTGGATTATGTACAGGGTCATCCAGCAAAACAAGCAGGTGGACACAGTGTTCCCTCTAAGCTGAGTCAGTGTGAGCTAGCTCACAGTTTTTTAGCCTCCGGCTCACACATTTTTGTCTCAGCTCAGGAAGGAGGGCTCCAGAGCAAACTAACTGATGCAGGAGCCAAATCGCTCAATCACAACTTTAATGCCAGCGGCTCACAAAGTAGAATTTTTGCTCACAAGTCTCCACAGCTTAGAGCGAGCATTGGACACAAGGGTCCTTTGCTCAGGTATGTAGTTACTGTCAAACTACTGGCCAAAGGGGGCTGCCAGCTTATGTCTGACTTGTGTATATGTGTGTGTGGTTAAATTCACAGACAGCTAGAAATGGAACCTTATCTCCCACCTTTCTATCCCAATGAGTACCCAAAGCAGCTTACATCATTTGCCTGTCCTCTGTTCTGTCCTCACAACAATCCTGCGAGGTAGGTTACGCTGAGAGTGTACGACCGGCCCAGGTCACACAGCAAACTTCCATGGCAAAGCAGTGATTCGACTGCCAGATACTGGGAGCAAGCAATGGTTGTTATTGTTGGTGAGGTGTGAGGCTGGCCATTTTTGGACATTCGGACCTCTGCCTGGCAGTTGCTGTGCCTGAATTTATCCAGGCCGTGTTATCTGGCCGGGAACGAGGGTACACACAGATAACCAAATGTCTTTGCTCGTTCCCGGTTCATTGCCAGACACAATCTCAAAGCACTGCCGTTGACCTTATAAAGCCCTGAATGGTATCTGAATGACTCCTTTCTCCTATATCCACCTGCCCATCAGCTATCTCTGTAAGAGACCTGGAGCTCGGGGGGCTTCGGCGGCAACACCCTTCCCCGGATATGTCCCCACCACCACCAGACAGATAAAGGAATCAGTGTCCTGTCCCAGCTTTCACTTTTTTAAAAAGGTATGTCTCTATCCCTTTTCATTGCAGAGATATAAGGGGAAACGTGCAGGGCAGCAGTCTGTCTGGATTGCTGGGACAGAATATGGGCAGGGAAGCTGCAAGAGGGCAGGAGGCTGACAGGTCAATTAAACCTTTCCCGATGGCATTCCTTTTCAAATGCTCAGCCCTTTCCTCCCTTTGCTTCTGTCTTGTCTGTGTCTGTCGCTGCCTCTCTAATCGCCTAACCCAAAAGGCCTTGAGTGAGAATGGGAGGAAAAACAGGTTCACTTGGGTAGACGGTTGACTACGTAAACTGTTCAGAGCCAGGTTAGGATGCTCCTGGGCCTAGACGGATGGGAACCAGGAAAAGTCTTACCAGGGGACTTATAATAGAAGCTTAAGTTGTCTAGGAGCTGGAGTGGCTCAAGTGGTTAAGACGTTGAACTGCAGGCTGTGGAAGGTCGGTAGTTCAGCAGTTCGAGACCCGAGTGTGCCGCATGACGGAGTGAGCTCCCGTCTCTCGTTCCAGCTCCTGCCAACTTAGCAGTTCGAAAGCAAGAAATTGCAGGTAGATAAATAGGTACCACTTCGGTGGGAAGGGAACAGCGTTCCGTGTGCCTCGGTGTTTAGTCATGCCGGCCACATGACCACGGAAATGTCTTCGGACAGCGCTGGCTCTTCGGCTTTGAAACGGAGATGAGCACCGCAACCCTAGAGTCGGATTCGACTGGCTTTTGAGCAAGGGAACCTTTACCTTTCCCAGTGTTATTAAAAATAAACTATGCAGTTAGAAGAAGTTGGGGGGTTTGTTGCTACCTATACGATAGTTTCTGTTCTCGTTTCATGTCTGTTGTGACAAGAATATGAGGCAGATCACTACAGAGAGACAAATGCTTGCTTTGGGGTCGGTTTCTCTGTTTGCAGCGGAAAGCCGCCCTCAGGAGAAGACGGAGGGGAAGAGGAGAATGAAACAAATTCCCCGATGGCTTGGCCTGATATCTGGCTTTAATCATGACATGAAAGCCACCTTTCTGTAACTTGCCCGAGTGGAAGACTGTATGCCTCTGGGCGCGGGCAGAATGCCTTTTGCTCGCCAGCTCCTGACGCACGCAAACTGCAGATGGGAGGCAGGCAGTAATTGGCACTAAAAGCTCAACTGCGTTTTACACTTAACACACAGTTCATTTCTGTGTTGCTTTTATTTTATTTTGTTTTTTTTCTAGTCTGGTACGTCGCCCAGCTTTTCAAAGGCACGTGACGGTGACTACATACAGATACCATCTGGTACATACTGTTACGAATACAACTATTTAAGGTGACATCATCAGGCCCCGCCCCATGACATCACAGGCCCTACCCAATCAGGCGCAAGGTTTCGAGGATTTGGCTCCCTCGCGCCTCTCCCCCCCCCCGTGTGCTTATGACCCCTCACCATAACTTTTCAGGCGATGGGGCTGCTTTGTTTATGGCCGCTCCATTTGATCACTATGACTGTTGAGGAACCTATAGTCTGAGAGCCAGTTTGGTGTGGCGGATTCTAACCTGGAGAACCAGGTTCGAATCCCCACTCCTCCACGTGAAGCCAGCTAGGTGACCTTGGGTCAGTCACGGTTCTCTCAGCCCCCCCAAATAAACCTAAAGGTAAAGGTTCCCTTGCTCGAAAGCCAGTCGAATCCGACTCTAGGGTTGCGGTGCTCATCTCAGTTTCAAAGCCGAAGAGCCAGCGCTGTCCGACGACGTTTCCGTGGTCATGTGGCCAGCATGACTAAACACCAAGGCGCACGGAACGCTGTTACCTTCCCACCGAAGTGGTCCCTATTTATCTACTTGCAATTTCTGGCTTTCGAACTGCTAGGTTGGCAGGAGCTGGAACTAGAGACGGGAGCTCACTCCGTCATGCGGCACACTCAGGTCTCGGAACTGCTGAACTACTGACCTTCCACAGCCTGCAGTTCAGCGTCTTAACCACTTGAGCCACCGCAGCTCCAAAATAAACCTAGCTCGCTACAAAAAGAGCTAGATTTGGGCTGCCGAACAATCTCCGGATCTTCTGGATGCGACATCCACTGCCATATAGTAATTAGTTAATTAACCTGTAGTCTAAATCAGGGAAGTTTTTGTGCCGATGATGAAGGAAAAAATGTAGACAGAGAAAGGAATCAGTGTCCTGGCCCAGTGGGAAAGGGGGCAGAGAGCGAAAGACCCGCCTAAGGAGTTTCAGGACCTAACCTTTTTGAGCCTGTGGGCACATTTGGAATCCTGATACAGGGTGGTGGGCGCAACCACAAAATGGCTGCCACGGGAGGCAGAGCCAGACATACACAGAGACACGGAGGATGCCCAAGAGCAAGGGAGAAGGGTAGTTTTTAAAAACAACTTGGAACAAGACACAAGGGAATAAAACCGCCACCAAAACGTTTTCAAAAATCTGCACAGCCGATCAAGATCTCCAGCGGCAAATCAGATGTCCTGCTGGGCAAAAGCCCCTCTTTCTAAAAATATTTGGGCTCCAGGAAAAGTGTCAGCCGGTACCATGGTGCCCACGGGCGCCGTGTTGGGGACACCTGGCCTAAACTTTGACAAACCCCCCCCCAGTGCGCAGCACGACGGGCGGAGGCCAGGAGGGTACTCACCAAGGGTAAAGCTACGCTCGCTGCTCTCCACAAACACCTGCACTGACTTGGTTTTGGTCAGCTGAGGCAAGCTGGGATGCTGGGCCTGGCAAGTGTAGGTTCCCTCTTGCTCCTGCGTCACCTTGGGGAGAGTCAAGGCGTTTGACGCCACAACCCCGTCGTTCCCCTGTGGGAGGAAAGATAAGTTAGATCCAAGCATGAGATCCAGGCGTGGACAGGATTCTGTTCCAAAGGGTAGCTGTGACAGCGCCAGCCAAGGCGAGACAGCCAAATGCCTCGCTCCCGATAACTTAATAGGGGTCAAAGCCATTTCATGTAGGGGAATGTTCATCAGTGTCAGGGCACTGGCCAATCAGTCCAGGGCCTTTGTAATCAGTGGCTTGGATCCTGTGATAAACGTCCACTAACAGAAGGAGGCACAGAAAAAAGTAGAGTCCAATGGCACTTTTAGGACCAACAAGATTTTGCCTTCTTTCCTCCCTCTGCTGCGGACCTCAGATTTGGCTCTCATGTTGTTCTTGGGGGGCCCTGCCCCCCCCCAGAGCACTTGGGGGTGGTCACTTAGAGCATCAGTGGGAGAGGAGACGCAAAGAAGTCCTGCTCAGCAGGCAGAAATGCCTTCTGTTAATGGAGGTTTACCTCATGACCCGAGCCACTGGCTGGAATGTGAGTGGCTGAGGACACCTTTTTTGTTTTTAACTGTTTAGGGGCACTTGGAAAGTGTTCCACTTGCCTCCCTTTTCTCCACAGAGAGATTTTGGGTTTTGTTTTTTTTTAAAAAAAGAATTAATGAGAGCAGGCTGGAAATTCAGGGCAGCAGGCGACAAGATTCACTCAAGAAGCAGGCCTCAGCAGGCCTTCCTAGGCCTACAGGCCTGAGCGAGAGGCTGAGTGAATCGTGATGATGGAATATTGTGGATGCTCTGCCAAAAGGAGGAGAGTTTTGATCTGAGTTTATGTGAACCTGGAAATCCACCCCTCAGTCCTTGCTGATCTGTACAGCGGCCAACTTCCAGGTGGTGGCTGGAGACCTCCCGGGATTGCAAGTGATCTCCAGGCGACAGAGACCGGTTCCCCTGGAGAAATGGCTGCCTTGGAAGGTGGACTCTGTGGCATTATATCCTTCCCCAAACCCCGCTTTCCTCAGGCTCTACCCCTCCAAATCTCCAGGTATTTCCCAGCGTGGAGCTGCCAACCCTACAGATCCACAACAGCCTCACCTTGGATTGTCAGGCCCCCCCCCACTGGCCACCACCTGGGGATGGGGGGGGGGTCTGGGGTTGCC